CGTGGACTCTGTACCCAGATCCAGATTTTAAAAGTGCCATTGAAACAAATATAGCAAATCCACACAAACTGTAACACAAAGCCACGGGCCGTTACCTGGTATTAAAACGGAAAAGGAATACAAAGAAAACGTATTTTGGGGAAAACTGAGTAATATTTGTCTTTCCGTATTGGCAGTGTTCGTTTTGGAGTGAACGCGCGTGGCCCTGTGCTGAATTTGCGTAACGAAGAGTAACTGCGGTAAATTTAGGATGTAACTCTAGTCCTAAGGGGGGTAATTCGACCCTTCACCCCCCCCTCTCCTTCCCCTTCTCCTTCTCTTGTCTCCCCTCTCTCACTCTCTCTCCCTTTCTCTTTCTCTTTCGGTTTCTCCCCTTGTTGTGGAATATTTTCGGTTTGTGCATTTCGCTGTCTCATTATCCTTCCGTCTGTCAGCATTCTTGTCTCTCTCTCACCTTACATTCTTTCCTTATCTTTCTCTCTGACGCTAGTTTTCCTCTTTCGTTTTCTTCTGTTTCCCTTTCCTTTCTTATCTTTCTTCTGAAGCTTGTTTTCTGCTCTCGTTTTCTCTCTCTGTCTTATTCTGTTTCCACCATTCTTTCTTTCACTCGCTGTTCCCCTCTCTCCCTCCCTCCCTCCTTCTTTTCCTCCCTCCCCTTTCTCCTCCCTCCTCTTACATCTCCTGCCTCCCATTCCCCCCTTCTTTCCCTCCTTTTCTCTCTCTCTCTCTCCTCTCATTCTCCCTGCCCCTTCCTTCTCCTCCCCCTTCTATCGCCACCCTTCCAATTCCAACGAGCGGAGGGCGAGCAGGTCAGAGGTCAGGAGCGTGTGAAGGCGGGGACAAGTACCAGGTCGAACCGGCGTGGGAAAAATCGCTTATTTCGGAGATGATCAAGGGGTGGGAGGTAGCAGGTGGGGGGTGGGGGTTTGTAGGTCAAGGTTGGTGCTTTGGCCGAAGGGAGTAAATGGTGGTTAAGAGAGAGGGAGGTGAGAAAGAGAGGAGGGAAGGGAAGAGGGAGAGAAAGAGGAAAAGGGAGAGGAGAGAAGAGAAAGAGGAAGAAAGAGAGAGAAAGAGAAAAAGGAAAAGGGAAAAGGGAGTAAAGGGTGGGAACGTGGGCGTGAAGGAGAGGGAGATGAGAGAAATGAAAAGAAAAAATAGGGATAAACATAAGAAGAATAAAAAGAAAAAAAGAAAAGAAAAGAGAAGATATGCAAAATTAGTCAAACCGAATTACCATACGGATAATTACGAATACCGTGTGCCGCAGTTAGACCCGCCTTCCACTGATACTTGCAGAACATCGCCCTTTCGTAATAAGACTAAATTATAACGTATGATTTGGACTTCCATATTCTAATGGCCAGTAATTACCATTTGAATTACCAAACGCTTGCTTGTTGGCAACTGTGTTTGTTTGTATTTAGAGTCGGTAAACGTATCGAGATAGTAGCGAACGAAGCATGGAAAGGGAGTAACGTATAAAGGATGATAAAGATGATGGCGGAGAGCTTGGCAACACGCTACTGCAGACTCGAGGGACAGGAAGGTCGTTGTTGCACCGTCTGGCGTACGAGGGAGACCGGATGTTGCAAGGCTATGCCACTGGGGTCAAGCCGAACGCAAGAGGTTGGCGGTCATTATCTCATTTTTATTAGTATCCTTTTATTGTTAACATTTTCCTTTTTGTTGCGAGTTTTTTGTGTTCAGTAATGTCGAGGAATGAGCGACACAGGAGGGGAACCAGAGACGGGTATTAACACGTTGATTTTTATGCAATTGCGATGGGAACTATAATTTGCACACCCATGGCGCTAAAGACACGATTTTCCTTCCTTTTTTGTCACTGGGAATATAAAAAGATACCCGAACAGTTTTTTAGCACCGACTTCGACTTTGGCTTCGGGCAAGTGATGGACAAATGGGCCACATCCGGACGAGGCGATTTCTGCAATGGAGTGTAGATCGTTTGAACAACCGGATGCCTTGATACTCTGCAAGTGGAAGGGCGAGAGATCGGACGGCAGAAGGAGCGAAGGGGGACGAAGGAGAAGCGAGGGTGAGAGGTGGAAGGGGTTTCTGGAGACAGAAGGGGGTGGAGGTGGAAGAAAGACGGGAAGGGGTGGAGGTGGAAGAGAGACGGAAGGAGGATGGGAAGGGGTGGAGGTGGAAGAAAGACGGGAAAGGGTGGAGATGGGAGAAGGACGGGAAGGGGTGGAGGTGGAAGTGGGACGGGAAGGGGTGGCGGTGGAGGTGGGGACGGAGCTAGAGAACGTGGAGGTTTCCACACTTTCGCACGGAAAAGGAGGGTTAAATAATAAGGAGACAGGAAGAGATATTAACTTTGCTTTTTTTCTTTCCCCCTTTTTTATCCTCTCGCTTACCTGCATCTGTTCCCTTCATAACTGCTCATTATACCAGCCCAGCGGAGGCATACCCACGCCCGTTCACCCGTAGATCCCTCATTACACCTCACTCCACCCATGCCTCGCTACCGCTTCCCGCATCCGCAAACCCGTCTGCATATGGTATCCACACCTTGGCCGGAAGCAGCGCCAGGAACTCTGCTGGGGGTTCAGGCACGATTTCGCCTAACAGTGCCACCCCAGCATTCTCTCTCTGTCTCTCTCTCTCTCTCTCTCTCTCTCTCTCTCTCTCTCTCTCTCTCTCTCTCTCTCCTCTCTCTCTCTCTCTCTCTCTCTCTCTCTCTCTCTCTCTCTCTCTCTCTCTCTCTCTCTCTCTCTCTCTCTCTCTCTCTCTCTCTCGGACCCGCTTATCCGCGTATCCGCACCATTGCCCGGCTCCCCCCTTTGTATGCACGGGCCTCCTCTGCAGCTGCCATTTTTATAACTGTTAATTAGATGGGAGCAGATGCGGTCAGATGCTACTCTAATTATAAAAGGGTTGCGGGCTGGGGCTTCATGGGTGGTTGCCCGATAGAATGATAAAAATGGATTGGGTGGAAATAAAGCAGCTTATTCCTCTTCTCTGTCTCTGTCTGGCTTCTCTCTCTCTCTCTCTCTCTCTCTCTCTCTCTCTCTCTCTCTCTCTCTCTCTCTCTTCTCTCTCTTCTCTCTCTTCTCTCTCTCTCTCTCTCTCTCTCTCTCTCTTCTCTCTTCTCCTCTCTCTCTCTCTCTCTCTCTCTCTCTCTCTCTCTCTCTCTCTCTCTTCTCTCTCTCTCTCTCTCTCTCTCTCTCTCTCTCTCTCTCTTCTCTCTCTCTCTCTCTCTCTCTCTCTCTCTCTCTCTCTCTCTATCTATCTATCTATCTATCTTTCTATCTGTCAGTCCTGTGTCTGTGGATGTGTGTGTGTGTGTGTTGTGTGTGAATTTCTTCGACACGTTCTTGATCGGCAAACCAAACGGGTATTTGAATATTTATGGATCTTTCAGCCTAGAAATCGGAGAAGAGGCGACAGCATTCGCAATAAATCTCTGCGGTGACGTAACATGATCCCCGCTAACGCATCCGTGCGAGAGGAGGTGAGTCGCCCCCCCCCCCCCCCCCCGCATGGATCTCTGCGCTTGTTTCATTAGGCAAGCTCATCCGAGAAGGGAGGGGAAGGGGGGGGAGGAGGGGTTGGAAAAACAACAAGGCGCCCACTCGAAATGGAGAGGGGAGGGTGGTGGAGGGGGGGTTCTTGCGTGGTGCAGGGGGGGGCGGGGTGGAGAGTGTTTAGTAGGGGGTAGAGAGGACTGTCCTTTCGTGAGTTTTGAAAAAGCGATCAGGTGTGTTCATCAGATATGTCCACCTAAAAAAAAAAACAGAAAAGAATATACACATATATCTGTGTGTGTGCGTGCGTGTGTGTGCGTGTGCGCGTATGTGTGTGTGTGTTTCCCTGTCGATGTGTAACTTTTTTTTTGTGAAAGAAGGAAAAGAACTGTGGGTGGCACTATTATTGTCTGTCGGCGGCCCGATGCCATAGACGGCGCAGCGAGAGAGAGAGAAAAAAAGTCGAAGCGGGAAAGAAACTTGTTTGGAAGATAAGAAGTATTTGATGGTGTTTTTTCGTGAGCGATAAGAAAGTTTCTCTGCGCGAAATTTTTAGAAGAAAGGAATAACGTATATTTTTACGAATGAGTTTTTGTCTCTCCTTTCTGACAGTTATTTTCGTTAAAAAAGGAAAAGATAAAAAGAAGTTCTGATAGTAACTTCAAAATGGAACTAAACACCTGGTTTAGAATTCGGTCTCATTCGAAGTGGCTATTATCTGCCACGACAAGAAAGCCTTATTTCCACATATAGACAAAGCTTGTGTGTTTAGTAAAGTCAAATGAAGCAATTCGCAGTCTTGTTTTTGTTCGTTCGCTGCGGGACAAATAAGGGAAAGGAAGTAAAAACAAGAAACCGCTCTATTTTTACGGTCCTGTGCTAATGGCTCCTTCCCCAAACAGCGACCAAATCCATTAGAAATCACCATTTATCAATAATCTAAAAGCTCGAGACAAGCAAAAATGGAAACAACAGGTTCAACAAGTTGATAATCCCAAAGTATTAATAGGAATTACATCGGCCATGAAGGTCGGTCGCAATAACATAAATCACCGCGCCATTAGGTATTTCCCCTTTCGCTGAGCCTCCCTCCCGATAAAGCCATGATCTGCATCGGTAATCCCTTAATCCCTTGCCGACGTATGAACTCCCTCCCGTGGTGGTCGCTCGCCATTGCCGCTCCGGAATTTCGCCCTCGTCGACGCCGCCAGGCTGTCCTCAGTCGTCGTGGCGTCAAATTAGGGGTTCCGCGCCCTTAGAGTTTAACTGGCGGGGGAATGAGGATGAGGTTCTTTCATTGGGCTTATCCTGATTATTGTGTCTTCTCGTGGTTTATTGCTTGCAGTGCTTATGTTGCTTTTAGTATGCACGTCATTTGGGTGATAGTACCTCATGGGATTTGGTGCTTATCTTGTTATTAAGGGCCATAAATTGTCATGTCCTTTACTGTTCAAACACATACCATTGTTTTTCTGTACCATCCACTAAGAATAAATTTCTCCTTTCCAGTCACAAACTATGTCACGATCCACCATGCCGACCACATCGTCCGAACACTCGACCCCGACTTCAGCTAAGGTGAAGCGCAACCCTTCGAGCGTCAGCCGGAAGAGCAACGGCGACAGCTACAACCTCAGCAACGGCAAGACCTCCCCGTTGAAGCCCAAGTCGAAGCCATGCTGTTCCCAGTACCACCTGAACAGCGTGTGGTCCATCTGGTACTGCCTGGTGAGCCTCGGTTTTATGGCCTACCTGGTGTACAACGGCGTGAAGAGGTTCCTGCTGTACGCGTCCTTGCCCTGGCCCCAAGGTAGGTGTCCCTCGTGCGAAGGCCGAGGGGGAGGGGAGGAGAGGAGGAGAGGAGGCTGTGATAATGATAGAAAGGCAATAGGAAGGACAATGAGGGAGGGGAAGGAGCACTTGTTAACGACAGAGGATAGATGGAATGTGGTAATGATAGGGAAAGGATAATAATGATAGGGGAGAAAGGGAATTGCAACAATGATAGCCTCCATATGAGAAGATTAATTACTTATAACTCATGACTAAAACTAAGAGGGTCATCAAAAAAGACAAAATAACTATAACAGAGCAGGTAAATCTCCCTAAGCGTAATTAAAATAGATTAAAATTACATTGCCTCTATATCGAACTCGCTATTTATATCCATTTTCTAAACTTCGTAAAGATAATAAGAACGAAAACTATCCACTAAATTCTGAATGAGCAAATTTAACTGAGCATGGAAATAAGAGGAATAAAAATAGGGATTTTTAAAAAGACTACATAAATCCAAAATGAATGTACGATGTAGGGATTGCTCTGTGGCTTCTGTAGGAACGCATATGCAAAGCTCTTCTAATTAACCAAAGTGTATTAACATTCTGATTGATGTCCCTGTTAATTGCTGATGACGAAGCCATTTGTTAGAACTTTAATGACTCTTACAGCTAATTTGCAATCGTTTTGGGGGCCTGTTTCTCTGGCGTTGTTATTTCATGTGTTTAATTTTTCGGTGCCTTTGTTTTTTAGTGGTTTATTGCCATGTGTGCCATGCATGTTTGTTGTATTTTAAACACATCTTTTGGAGATAAGTAGGTGGGTAGGTAGGGAGGGGAGGGAGGTAGGTAGGGAGGGAGGGGGGGGGGAGGGAGGAGGGAGGGAGGGAGGGAGGGGAGGGAGGGGAAGGGAGAAGAAGGGGAGGAAGGAAGGAGGGAGGAAGGGGAAGGAAGGAGGAAGGGAAGGAAGAGGAAAGAAGAAGGGAGGTAGGGAGGGAAGTAGGTAGGTAGGTAGGTAAATAAATGATTAGATAGATAGATTAGATAAGCAGAAGGAAAAAGATTCAAGAAAAGAAAAAAAGGCCAGTCACTATGCACAGGCACCTAAATAACACTTTCTTCCCCCAGACCCGCCCTTCGTCGAACTCAACGCCTACGTCGGACTCGTGGGCGCGTCCGTGGTGCTGCTGCCCTTCTTCCTCGTGACGTCACTGCTGAAGGTGGGCAACTTGGGCAACGACGGATTCAAGCTTGGGGCGTCCCTCTCCACCTGCAGTAGGGACCCCCCGCCGGTACTCGAAGCGGCTAAGGGAGTCGTTAGGTAAGTAGGGATTTGTGTTAAGGCTGGTTGTGTGTTAAGGGGGTGAGGGGTTGTGTTAAGGGAGTGAGTGGGTGAGGATAGAGTGAATGAATGGATGGGTGTGTATGTTGGTGTGTGTGTATGAAGGAGGGATGATTGATGAAGTGAATAATGAGTGAATGGGTGGTAAGTGACTGGGTGAGCGAATAAGTGTGTGAGTGTGAGTATGAGTGTGTGTGTGTGTGTGTGTGTGTGTGTGTGTGTGTGTGTGTGTGTGTGTGTGTGGTGTGTGTGTGTGTGTGTGTGTGTGTGTGTTGTGTGTTTACTTCGCCAAACCGTTGTTATTTTCCCTCTTTGGGTTTAATGAAGCAAGCAGAACGAGCGAGCGGTGAATTCAATAGCTTCTCTTCGAGGGAAGTTGAGACTAACTTTCTACCACAAGTTCTAAGAGTTCAGCTTAAGGGAACGGACGGAGTGACGAGAACTTTTTATTATTAGTTAGAAAACGTAATTGCTTTGTCAGATGAACGTTATTTTTTTTCTACAAAGTTTTGTCTCCATCGGACGCAGATTCGAAAGTTTTATATTAGCTGGGCGTAAGAAGCCTCTTTAAAAGTCGGCGATGAGACTGAAATTAAACACATAATTGGCTTATTGGGTGAACTTTCGACGGGAAGAACGCCTAAGAGGGATGAAAGCTCTATTCCCATTGGTTGCCCAAAGAAGGCAAAGTGGCATGAGAGATTCTTTTCGATTCGTCGCCAAACGCCAAAGTGGTATGTAAGCTTCACTCCGATTGGTCGACGCAGCGCTTGTTGGCGACCGAGTCTTGGCGGGAAAATTCTAGTGTCTAATTTGGTCACGTGATTATCAGTGAAGGGGTGTTGTTTTACAAATGACTCTGGATATCCCCATGTTAGCTCACTAGACGAAAATGTTCCCAGACAAAAAAAAAAAAAAAAAAAAAAAAAAAAAAAAAAAAAAAAAAAAAAAAAGAATGTTAGTTGCGATGCCAAGAGGAAATGGTTGACATAGCCAGGGCGGACAGCGTAGGGATGCACTTAGGTTAGTTGGGAGATTGAATGTCGGACGCGGGGAATCGCAGGGGGCTTGAACTTTCCTAAACATTTTTACCTTTTTGTTTTGATTGTAGTGTGCGTTTGCTTAATTCCGAGTCATAGACGCCTGAATTGTACCCTCTTTTACTTGTTTTATACGCTGCGTTTAAGTGTGGAAATATTTTTTTTATCGGTTTAGAATTAGTAACCATTGCATGTATCGATACTATTTTGGCTCATGACATACAGCTCGGCATTCACCTCACGTTTCACTAAAGATAAAGACTAATGCATGAAGATATTTATACTTCATAAACTTCCGTGCCGCTCACCCACTGCTCAACCTGATTCAGGTCTATCAGCTGAAGCGGCGGTTTAATTTTAGCACAAATTACCCAATGAGATGTTATAATTCTTGTTCTTGGGGATGTTGACTAACGCACATGTTCTTTGAACTTCCCCGAAATCAGTGTTTACAAAATTCTCTCGTTATCTCCCCGACAGGAACTTGTGGTTACACGGAGTGCCGACAGCGCCCTTTCTTCACCTGGTGGCCGCCTTCTGCCTCCTCCTTCCCCGGACCCTGATGGACGCTACTCTTATCTCCGCCGGATTCCTTCCCAAGG